ATCTATCTATCTATCTATCTATCTATCTATCTATCCATCTATCTATCATCTGTCTGTGTCTACCTACCTACCTACCTACCTACCTAACTACCTACCTAACTACCTACCTACCTTATCTATCTGATTCCTGGATTTTCTTTATAGCTTAACCGGTCTTGCTTGATTTCCCAGGTCCAATGGGTCACTTCCGAAGTCGGTAGAGGTTCAGGGTCAGCGCCTCTTCGTGAAAAAAGTGGATTACTCTGTGAATACCACCTTCATCTGCCAAGCCACCAATCGCGTCGGGCGGGTTTCGACACACCAAATCATCCTCGTCCGAGGTAAGAGCTGTGGGCTTTTGCAACCTTCTCCGTGTCTGCGTGGGGCTAATGGCGTGTGCGGGATGAAGATGAAGCAAAATTTTTGGTGCTGCTTTTGCTGCGTGGGGTGGGAGGGCAGGCATGTTGAGCCGATCTCGCTTGGTACGCGTCCAGAGTCTCATCAAATGCACGGTGGAATAATCAGTGTGTGTGTGTGTGTGTGTGTGTGTTTTTAACCTAATCTGGGGGATGCGAATATTTGAATTCTTCCTCTTCTGTCAAAAATTCAACGTGTGGTGCTTTGCGCAAAAGGACGGTGTGAGGTTTCACTAGTCCAAGGCATGGAGCCAGATGCATTGTGGGTGCAGAGCAGTTTGTGGGGAGAAAGATAGCTGGGGCGCCTCACATGTGGGGCGAACGGTGCTTTTCTCGACCCTCTGATACCCTAGTTTCTCTTTTGATGTTCGGGGCCCCTTGGTCCCCTGCGAGAGATGGTGAGAGTGATGATGATGATGGTAGATGGCAGGGTCCCAGAGGACCCCCCGGCCTTCCCTTTCCTGGATCCAGTTGAGGCTCTGCCCCTTCCCCAGTGCTGGTATTACTAACAACTGGCATTTCTCGGAGTGACTTCCCCGTCTTCCTTTCTTTACTCAGACCAGCCAGTGAAGAGTCAGAGCCGCAACGTTGGAGCCCTGGCCGGGGGTATCGTGGGGGGGATCCTGGCCCTGGCAGTTCTGGGGATCATAGTCTTCTTCATCCTGCACCGCCGGCACCCCCGAGCTTCCAAAGGTTCCTTTGACTCCAAGACACGAGTCTTTGGCAACGGCACTTCTCAGCCCCCGACGCACGACTTCACCGAGCTCGACCGGCCGCTGAAACCCGCTACGGGCCGAAAACTGGAGGAGGACGATGACGATTACGGAGAGGAGGAGCGTGAGGAGCGGCGGCACCCTCCCTATGGCTACGCCCCGCGGCACCGGGAAGACGAGGGGGAACGGTTTGACCAGCTGGGCCCGATCCTGCGGTTCAGCCCTGACCCGCACGGCTACGACTACGACGACATGGAATCGCAGCATGACGGGTCCATCATCTCCAAAACGGCAGTCTACGTGTGAGTGAGCTCGGTCCGAACAGCCGTTCTGGGGAACAGCAAGAGAACGAAGCTCCCTCCCAAAGACTCTCGGAAACTCCCTGAAGGATTTTTAATGTTGTTTTGTATTTTTAAAACTTACAGACTCTGCCCACAGCAGCCCTCCTTAAGGAATGAGCGGCAGCTGCCAGGGCAGGTGGGCATTGGAGGAAAAAACCAATGGGGTTTGTCCCTGAGGAAAAGGAAAACTGAGGAGAAAACTATCAAGGCCTTCGAAACTGTCCCTTCTGAAAAAATCTTTTCGGTCCCGCTGCCTTAGAAGGATTTTAAAATCTTTGTTTTTAATGTTGGAGGAGATGGCAAACCAGATGGTAATACCTGGCACTCCGAGCGGTGCAGGAAAGGAATGAAACTGATCCAGCATCCTCGTGAAACGGGACCTTCCCTGGTGAGGGGCGGAGACTCCGATGCCCTCTCGGACGGGACTTCCCTGAGAATTGGTGCTCTCAACTTTGATTTGCAAGAGACTCGGCTGCTTTCAAAGGCCGGGCTTCCCCCCGGCTGTCCCTTGATCCAGGAAAACTGGGACTTCAAATGTCCTGTGTTGTTGTGTTTTATAGCATCCTGGGAGGGTTGGGGGAAATGAAGGAGCCCTGTGGCGAGATCTCTTTTTAAAAAAAAAACCTCCAGGGTTTAAGGAATTATCCGGGAATTGCTTGAGGTTGTCCGTCTTGTGGATTCCGTGGTTTGGCTGTGTGCCACGTCCTCCTCCCATCACTACAACGGTCTCACATGGAAGGCTGAAAGGGGTGGCTCTCCCGTAATGGGAACTGAGCCATTTCTTGGGTCGCCCATGTTCACATGCTACCTTTGTGCTCTTCTTTATGTGTCCTCTCTCCGTTGTCTGTAAATAGCCAAGCTTTAAAAGAAAAACAAAACAAANAAAAATGAGTGAAAATGTTTGCAAGAGGAAGCCACGTGGTGGAGCGAAAAAAGGGGCGGGGCACCCTTTCTACAAATATCGGGACTTTTTAAAAATGCCCCGGGACGTGGGACAAATTATTAAAAATCATGACTGTCCCGCCAAAAGCGGGACGCCTGGTCACCTTAGTCTTATATTTTGAATATAGTTCCGCCCACCCACATGGAGCCTGATTCCCGAAGAATTCCTGGGGAATTGCGTTCAAAGCCTTTCCAACGAAAGAATTTTTGGGTGGCAGCACCACAATCCCCTACCCAATTCCAAAAAGGATGCATGCAGAGGCCAAAAATGTGCATTGCATTTCAGGTGGCAGGTGGTTTTAGTACGCACTGCCACCTCAAAATACTTTCATTCCCAGTTCCCCAGTGCACACTGCAGAGCCGCACAGCCTCCCCCTCTGCAGACTCGCCTTCTCTTATCTCCTGTCAGCCGGGTGAGGCAGGGAGAAAAGAGAGAGGGCAGCAGGATCAGGTGAGGGCGTAGGAGCCAGGCGCAGACACAGAGCAGGCAGATCAGAGGCAGCTAGCCGATTGCTGGCTTGCCGGCTCGGCTCCTGGCCCGGGAGATGCTTCTAGTCAGGAGGAATGCACACCCTGGTTTTGCAATCGGGGAGGAAAAAAGAGTGTTTCAGATGGCAGGCGGTTCCAGGCTGCTTCGCGATTCCTGCAGCTTGGAACCACCTGTCACCAGAAATGCTCTTTTTCCTCCCTGATTGCAAAAATAGCTTTTCTCAGGACGCTAGATTGGGAAGTTAAATACCTGGAATGAGATACAATCAAGCTCCTGAGATCGCTCCACTGCGAACCCAAAAATGCTGTTATCACAATCTCTGCCACCTGGAACTGCCCAAGAAGGGGCAGTTGAAGTGGCCTTTGCAGAGATCACTGTAACAGTATTTTGGGGTGGCAGCACAGCAATCCAAAGCCAAAGCCTTTGAATCAAGCTTGATTGTATCCCATTCCAGGTTTTTAACTTCCCAATCTAGCTTTTTTTTCCTGAGAAATCTGAGGCACCTCTCATTTGCAGGAGGAACAAGGCGGCATCACAAAAGCCTCTGAGTAACTGGGAAAGAAAGCCACGCTTGGAACTTGCCGAAAACCACTGCCCAAAAAGCCCTTTTTCTCCCTCCTACTCTCCTAAGGTTATCAAAGCATGATTACTTTCCCAAGAGCATCACAATCCTCACAAAAGTTGAGAGAGAAACAAAGGGGGCAAGAGAGGTTGCAGAGATGAGATATTCCCTATGAACCCAGGGAAAGGGGTGGGAAAAAGAAGCCACTTCAGGTAAGGTGACCAGATTTTAACATTGGTAAAGAGGGACCCCATTGACAGGTGGGGGGGGGGGTTGATTAAAAAAAAATTCACTTAACAAATGTGGCAAGAAAAATTGTAAAATGGGGCAAAAAATTTCTCACTTAACAACATAAATTTTGGGCTCAATTGTGGTCGTGCATTGAGGACTATCTGCACTTATCTT